CTGTTGCTGTTGTCGTTGTTGCTTATTAATCCTTGCATAAGTCCTTCGGCCAGCTGCGTCATCGCCGACATCCTCGTCATCATAGTTGTTATGAGAGCATCAATAAATGTTCTCCAAAAGCAACAAGAACAAGAACATTTGCTCGCGTTTGCAGTTTGTTGCGGCTGTTTGCAAATAAACCGCAGTTTAGAAATAATGAATACAGCTTAACTTGGCTAAAATGAGTTGCTGTTGAACTAGTTGCTCCTTCCTTCCTGCCCGACTGCCTGCCTGCGTGTTTGCCTTCTTCCATCCATTTGCCTTGCAACATTATGCCGTTGTTTGCAGTTTTCCTTCATCATTTTGTTTTCTATTTTTTATTCTGGCGCTCATTGTGTGCGTTGCGCATAATTTTCGCCACCATTTGGTGCTCAAGAATTTTCGCACAGATTTATGTTTTAATTTTCGCGGATTTTAGCGCATAATTAAAAAATGTTGCATAAACTCAGGCGCTCAAACTTTGCAGTGTGTGCGAGAAAAAAATGTGTTAGCTATTGCTATACTAAACGCAAATTTATGAAGCGTAATAAGGAGCGGCGATTTTCGCTTCAAACAAAAAACATATTTATGGGCTTCGCAAATACGAAATAAATGTACATGTATAGTATATTAAAATATTGTGTATGCATATAAATAAATAAACCTCTGAGGCAGCTGATTAAATAGGAAGGCACTGTGCCAACTTAATTGCTTTAAATAAACGTATAAAATGTATAGTTCGGTATAAAGAATGAACTTATCCATTCATCCCAAACAGTATTTGTAATCAAAAGTAAAAAACAGCTGCTAATATTTATTTCCCCTTCTTTGGATTGCAACAATTTTTGGGCAATTTACAAAAATATAACTATGTATAAGTATTTGAAATTAAAACTTAATCGTTAGTTTTGTCAATGAAACTGGAATCATCCAGGGAATATTATCCAAACCGATTAAAAACTACATTTTAGACTTGTTGGCAACCTTTGAATTAAAAACTTTAAAACTGTTCAATGACAGACGAAATAATCAGCGAGCTAATCGGCTATGGCTATGTCTCTAAATACTTTCCGATTGCAATGGATTGCTTTTCAAAACTTCTCTGAAATACTTTTTTATGTACATAATTTCAAAACATTTAATTCATAACGAAATTAAATTTCAATTCGAAATGAGACTGAATAATAAGCCCCTCTTCAACTATTATTTGGGCTTATGAATATTGTGCGCAATTTAAAATATATTATTTATGTATTTATTTATTTATTTATTTATTATATATTTATATGTACATACTTTCTAAGCTAATTTTTAATAACAGCCAACAGAAAAAAAAATATTAATTATATTAAAGACTATGACAAGTTTGCAGCTTTCTGCATGAGACTACGTTTGAACTGAAATTGAGATTTGTATTTAATGCTTTTATATTATTTGAATATTATTTTTTCTTTAAAAGCGATAAAGATGCTTTTAGGTATATCTCATATTTTAGGCTTACTAAGTAATGAAGCCGTAATTGGATTGAAGTATTAGATAAACATTGCACGGCCGTCATACTCCTTGCGTGGTGTCTAAGCCAATAAAGAAGAGAATTGTATAGTTAGAAAATTGTTTGCTTAACAGACAAATGCCAGATGGATACGTAAGCGTTCGTATATTCCCTGTTCAAATTATATTCCTTGGTGTCCTGCCAAAAGTTAACTCCAAGCAAGAAAAGCAGTTTTATACTTGCGCAGATGGAAAGTAGTGTGTACCAGGGATAGGAGAGGTTTACATTTGGGAGAAGCGTCTAAAATGTAGAGCACATCCCACCCTTTACAAATACCTAACAATGGGCCAGCAGAAAGCATAATGTACATGATCAAAATTTGTAGACAACTTTTTAATGGATTTATTTACGATTGATTTGAATTGATAATAGAAGTAGCTACATATTGCTTTATACTTGTATATTTTAACACAATAGTGCAAGTAAAAATTCCTTTTTAGAAAATCTAGTTTCAACAAACAATACTCTTTATTGCGATTTTTTTATATCTCTGGAAGCAAACTAATTTCTAATATCGTTTCACTTTCCTTTCACAAACATGTTGTTTTTTGGCTCTCTTTTTTTCTGGCCGTAGTTAAACTTCATGTCGCTGTAGTCTCACCCTCTAGAATTTGGACAACAAACGATATATATGTATAAAGAAAAAAAAAAATCGTAAAGACAAGACTTCAATTTTATTAGCGCAATTTTTCACAAAATGCTGAAAGAAACTTTTACACGCCACTCTAGAGAGTGAAGTTTCTTCCACTGTCGCCATCGGCATCGCCATCGCACCGGAAACTGTTGACAAGCAGCAGCAGGAACAGCAGAAATGGCGTCGATGATGATGACGGCGGCAACTGTCAATGAACAGTTAATATATTTGTGATGATGCGCAATATGTCAATGACAGACGGGCCAAGAGCTATGGGGCCAACAATTTAGTTTATAAATTACACGCCGCCTTCCTGTCAAAGATCCTTCGCCCTCGCTTTCACTTGCATTGCTGACATGACGAATTTTGGCTGAGTTTGAATTTGTTGGCCCGCCCACTAATCTTCTCAATTAGGCATGGATTTTTGACCGCGCTTTTCTTCATCTTTTTTTTTATTTTTTTTTTTGTGGAAAATTATCAATAATTGTATATGGACGCAAATACTCGTATATAAATACAAGTGCCGCAGATAAATTGACAAAGACCCGCAGCAATTTTCCGGTTTCAATGTCGTCATTGACATTGTCATCGAGGGCGCAATGTCTTCGCTTTTGGTTTTGCTGCTTCTGTTGCTTTTGTTGCTGTTGTCGTCTGCTTGTCTGGCACTTTTTGTCATCCATCAAGGTGTGAGAGTTCCGGACGGAGACAGACTAGAGCAGGAGGACCCCCAGACCAGCGCCCGCAGCATGTACTGCCTTTGATCGCTGGACATTTTTGTAGCTCACATTTTTTTCTTGGTTCGCTTTCGCAGACACACACCCCTAAATATTTTGCCACTGTTTCCATTTTTGTTACTCCTCCCTACTGTTGCGGGGATGGGAACGAATGTGGGTGGGTGAGCTCCCGGTGATGATTTTTCATTGCTCGAGTTTTAATTTTTCACATGAGTTGATTTTGGTCTATGTGCGGGGGAACCCCACGCTGCCGGCTCTTGATGATGCAAAAAATTTTATGTCGTACAATAGAAGTGAGGCCAAATTTTATTTAAAGGAGTCTGCGAATTGGATTTAGTCTTTACAAATAAAACTTTAGAATTCGATATTTTGTACATTCTCGATTAGCTCTCAAGTAAGCAAGTTACTGCATTAATATTTTTGATACATTCTTTGCATTAAAACTTTGTGCAATCATAAATGTATTTCATTTTATTTCCTCGATTTTTTGTTTGTTTGTTTGTTTGTGCAATAGATGGGTTTCATTTGACAATTAGCAAGTGCTTTCCAGCTTAGAGCCTATTGTTAATAATTGTGCATCTTCTTTTTGTATATTTTGATGTAATTAATAGGGGTAATTTTTAACTATATCAAAAATACTCCATAAATGCAAAATATGATCAATTCAAAAGTCCATAAAAAATTAAATTAATTAATTAAAAGGCCAAAACTACATGGATCAAGTATCTTTTTTTTTTTTTGAACACACATCTTTAAAACATTTTGGAGTACTAAATCTTTTCTAGCAAATTCTTTTTGAATAGATTTAAAAAGATTTTAGATCTGAATCTACCTTTTGTTCCTTAAATTTTTATTTTTTATGATATGTATTTATATTCTATGATAGCAATTAAAAGCAATAGGTATATTTGTATATTTGTACATGTGTCTTATTAAAGAAGATCTAACAATTAAAAAGAATAAGTATATATGTTATTTCTAGGAATAATAATGCTGGCGTTTTTAATACAATCAAAAAATAGCTTTTGCATATAAATGTCCTATATTTTAATGCCAGTTTCTATTAATATTCGTAACATAGAAGTTCCTACTAATAGTTTCGTCAATAAGATTCATGCTTATATGTCTCTAGAACTTACAAATGTAGGAACGTTCATTAAAATGTTACTTACATTTGAGTAGATCCATCAAATGGTGTAGCTTTCAGACATTATTAATAAAAAAATTTTAAAAAATATTACGATTATATGTTATTTCTTTTTTGTATCAAATTTTGCAATGCAGCAGTTGTTTAATCAGGTTAAATAGCTTATTTTTCAGCTTCTAAAAACTGTGCCCTGAGCTCTGCCATAGTGTTATTCCTATGCGAAACCGCATTATCCCTTTGCCTTCAATAAAAAATAAATCAAGACATATTCTAATAGTTCCATCGTTTTTGTCAGATAATCTAAAACGTGAATTGGAACATCGTTGTCTCATTGCATTAAAATACAAATGAAGCAGCTCTGAAAAGGAGTCAAGTTCATTGAACCTTAAAGCAGTTAGCAACGCGCCCAACTTTAAAATGCTCCAAAGTTTCTCTGACAGCGTCCATCATGCCGCCCATCCGACTGTGATTTATGGCCACGGCGCGCGCTGCTTTGACATCGGCCGACATTTGACAAAAGCTTGGGGCAGCGAGGACCATTTCTCTGCTGCCACCGCCCCCGCCACCGCTACCGCTACCGCCTCGACCACTACTACTGATGGTTCTATGTAAATGGCCTGGGGCTGGCGCACTGCTCGGTTGGCTGACGACTGCTACTCGGCTGGTTCGCTCTTGCTTAGCAGGTTGCAGATAATTCATCGTTGACATTGCGTACCAATTTAAGGGTTGAATGATTCCCTCAGCCAAAGGGGTTGCGTCTGTCTGGCCACTTTCTGTCTTTAACTGGGTGCGACGTCTGGCCTTTTGGCCCTAGTCCTGCTGCCTCTGGCCCTGGACCTAGTCCTGGTGCTGATGCTGACGCTCAAGCGTACGGGTTATGTGGCTAGTGATTTAGAAAAAAGGTCAGTCGGCAAAATGGACGCCATGGTCCACATGTGGGATGGTCATTGCACTAACACCACCCGCCATCCACCACCCACCACTCCCCAGTTAGCTGCTTAATTAGACAAGTGAGTTGGGATTTTCAGGCTTAGCTCGCTTATCGTTTTGTTGTTGCTGTTGTTCTTTTTTTTTTCAAGTGTAACTTTTTAAAGCATATTTATGTGCGTTGTCCTGTAACTGCAAAAGTATGTGTGAGTGTATGTGTGGGCTTGCGGGCCCTCTTAATTGTAGCAATTGAAATTAAGTGTTGTCTCTTTTCCCATTCAGGGAACAAGCGGCTTTTGGCACTCCACACGAAGTTGGGCCTAATGTGTGTTTGAAATGCTTTAAAGCTTTATTAGTTGCAACCCGTACACCCCCAACCACACACACATATTCGTACACACTCGTACAGTCCCATCAAACGTTTATTACCTCGTTTAGACTGTCAGAGCGCCATAAATTTGATGTTGGGCTTGCCTGTGACATCACACAGATTGCCTGATTTTTGTTTGTCTACTTGATCCAAATTTGCTCGTAAAGTTTTCGGATTTTAATTACTTTTGTACATTCTAGGCCATTTGAGAATTATTTTATGTGCGGGCTATTTAGCAAAAGGTCATGGCCATATTTTTAGAGCATGTGCAGCAATGAGCCTTTTCCACATTTTGGAAATTTAAACCTAAACACAAACTAAATCTAATCTGCGTTATTTTGAAATTGAAATTTTCTCAATTATTATTACAATTTGTAAATATCATTTTTACATTAAACGGAATCGCTTAATCATGCATTTTTATTATTTTTATTTTTATTTTATTTTTTAAAATTTTATTTAGTACATCAACAATAATTCTGTCGATTATAATAATTAAAATATATTTTAACATATTATATATATTAAAATAAAAAATAAAATGATGATATAACTTAATATAACAATTTAAACTCAACTTAAAAGATAAGAAAGCCTAACACAAAGCTGTACAATAACGACTATTAATGCCTCCGACACGTTGGGGGAATTTTATTTGTTATTAAAGTAAAGTTTTAAAAATATATTAAATTCTTTCTAATTAAGACTAAACACCCAGTTTAAGTTGTGTTTGTATTTATCTATAAGTTTAATTTAAGTTATAAATATAAACGTATTGCTGAATTATACAAGCAAGATGGATTTAATTAGAGTTTGCTACGGCAATGAGAAATAAAAAGATTGAATTTTCTTCTCTAAAACAGATAAGATATTGCAGTAAATTTTTGTTTCGATAAGCAGGTCGCCGCTTCTCAAAATTTGGCGCGAACGAACTGATCCACCAGAGGTGGAGTCGATGATTTATTTTTTTAGCAAAAGGGTGATAATTATATTGTATCCCCTTTGCCTTTTTGGCGATGGAGAGAGGCTTGCCCACGTCCATGCTTACAAGAGAGCACAAGAGAGCATTGACAGTTCGTTTTTTTCTATTCCCTTTACACGTTTGCTTACAACTTAGACTTGACGATAGTACGTGTTTTTCAATTGGCGCGTGTGGTGGTCGTTAAATCAATGAGTTCCGAAGTGCGCGTCTTGATTTGAGCTAGAAGCATAAAAATACCATAAATCTGTGGATCAATTTGTGCTTAGCATTTTGATATAATTTGTACATCGATTAACACAAAATAAATATTGTAAATAAGTGTTTTTTGCGCAATGAAAATTTGGCGTCGCTCCGTTTCTTTCTTTGCCTTTGCCTTTTCCTTCGTTCGTCGCAAGCAAGCGACGCTCTCTTTTAGTGATCGGGAACGTCGCGGCGTTGCTTGTCGATTCGGTTCAGTTATGCTTTCAAAACTGTTGCTGTTCGTTGGGCAAAGCAGCAGTGGCTTCAAAACTCCATTCAACTCGTGATCGGGAGCGTCGCGGTTTGGCTTGTCAGTTAATGCTTTCAAAACTGTTGCTGTTTGAATGTCAAAGCAGTAGTGGCTTGAAAACTCTGTGTCTATTCGTGTTGGTGTTGTGTGACTCTCAAACTGTAAATGGAATGTGAAAGCTTACTGGTTATATTCTTTATTCAAAGGTGAGTTTATTACAAAGCACTCAATGTCTCATATAAGTATAAGGATATATAAAATATTTAATATACTAAAAGCATACTTCAGTATCGAATATATTCTTAAAAATCATTTTATAAACATTGTTCTAAAGTATTAGTTGAAATATTATCCCATAGTGCTGCATACGTCTTTTGAATCCAAAATTCGATTTTCAACAGCAATTTAAGAAAAGTCAACTGCTTGCGAAGATTGTCATTAATGAAGACATTTTTCCTGCTGCTGCTGATGCTGCCGGTCCACACGCACAAAACTGAAACACAAGAATGCACAACATACACGCCCCCAGCCAGACTTCCAGTCCCTGTTTACGCCTCCGTAGACCAAACCAATCCTCAAAACAAGACAAAGGAAAACGGAAGCAACTGAGCACACTTAAGTGAAGCGCGTAATCCGAGCCACACAACAAATGCCACAGCAACAACAACAACAGAAATAACAAGGGAGCTTGCCAAGTAAAAGTAAAAATCAGCAAAGAAAATGTTAAGAAAAAAAAAAGGATCAACGGCAGCTTTGCACGTTTCCTGAAACCAAATACAGGCAGCCCAACCAAGTGCCGGTGACCAAACACACTACCAAAGAGAAATGGATGGAAGCCTGGTTATGTCACATACTATACATACATATATACGTATAAAAAGTTTTCCCTTCCTGAGCCATGGGGAGAGGGGAGGACTAAGCAACACCGACGCATGTGACAACGTTAAACTGAAAATCATTGCACGGTCACGTGTCAATCTTTAATGCGACCGTCCATCCTCCCCCTACCAACCCGTGCTGCCTTGTTGCATTGTCTTAGAGTAGTATAGGGGATGGCTCGAACAGAACGGCTAACAGTTAGTGGTCAAGAGGTGGTCAGACAGTGAGATTAGTTTCATAAAAGTTGCCGAAATTATTGTCACTTCTGGAATTTCACAAAAATATTATTCGCAAATTTGTTACTTTCTACAGAAAATCTATATATAAAAAGAATATATTTTTGAAAACTCTCAGCTCTGACAACTGTCTTCTTATGAATTCAGACATGAAACTCTTAACGATCTATTTAGCTACTTTTCTAATATGTCTTTTTGATTTATCGAATACAAATTCTAAGATTTTTCAGTCCAATAACTAACTCTGTAAACACGTAGAAGCGGATCAATTTGTTTTGGTTTTCTGATCATATATGTATAGTGTGTAGTATAATATACTTTAACTGGTATAAGAGAATATTTTTTACATTTTCTAGAAGTCCAAGTGTGGTTTAAGCCTTAAGACTAACAAAAAATTGAACATTGAGAAATATATGAGGTTTTTGGTTTCCAAATTGTTGCCATGGCGGAAATATTGCGTTAGCTACTTTTCAAAGCAAAGTGATTTTCTATTTCAATGCCTTAAGTTTACTGGACTTTTCTCGCTAGTATTTTGAAGTGAAAATCATGACATTGGGTATGTTGGGTGTATATTGAAGTGCTATAAAAATTGCTATTTTATAAGAATTTGTGAATATTTTGCTTCACTGTCCTAACGACACTTAGACTGAAATGTCAAAACGCATTTGGATTATGTTGACCTCCATCTGCTTTCTTCTTTCTTTTGCTCTGCATTCTGCATATAATGACGGTAGTTAAATAAACTAACATAATGCTTAGCTCTGACTTAGTGGTAAAAGGCGCACAAATGGCACAACTTTCTAGAGTTTCTTCCTGTTATTGTTGTTGTTGCTGTTGTTGTGACTCTACGTTTGGGTTTTAAATTACGTCGCCTAAGTGTTGGCACTTTGCTGAGTGGGTCAGATGATTACCTGGCGCAGTTTTAGTTTTGTGTTAACAGTTGTTGGCCAGTTCTACTGATGGCTTAATTCACGATGGCATGTGGTTATGTGAAAACTTTCCTTCTATAGTAAATTGGCGTGCAAAACGAAATGCACAAAAATGTTTTATGCAGTTCAGGGATTAGTTTTTCCTTCTCTCATTCGCCAACAAATGCATGCTTTCCTTTTGTTTGTTTAATCTGATTTAATTTTCTGTAAAATTGTATTGGTTTACGAGTAACATGTTATGCAAACAAATTTTTGATTGAGCTAAATTAATACGATTTAAGTTAAATTACCTTTATTTTTGTATTACATTTCAGACCAAAATCATTTTGGTCTTTTATAGTGATTTTAAAATGTTTACTTTATGTTTTAAAAATATATTTGTGACTTAAAAAGCCAAAAGTTACAATTTACATGTGGAATGCATTTTCATAGAAAACAAATGGGCACTTATTGGCACACTAACAATTGACTTAATACAAGGGATATTGAAAAATCACCAACTATAAAAGTAGTTATATGACTAATTAGAATTGAGTTAGAACTTATCTTTGGACATATTGGAGGAGATTATTTATAATCTTCCAACTATACTACAAAAATCTTTACAAATTTCGTAAATTTTACCAAAGATTGAATTAATTTTAGAAATCTGCGTATTATTCTAAGAAATTCTGATATCGTAGTTGAAGTGCTGATTTTGATAGTAGTTTTATTATTATTTATATAGTGGATGATATTGCTTGTATAAACACGGCTTTTTGTGAATTCTTTCAATTAAAATTAATATTGTAGTAATTTGTTCAGTATTTTTAACGAGTGTGTTTGACTTTGAGAAAACTTAACTTATTAGGGCTCCAAAATATATTTTTATTTAAAATGTAGGCCTAATTAATAAAAATGTATGCAAAGAAATAAGTTTCTGGGATTTAAATTGAGGAACTGAATCGTTATAATTAATTTATTTACTTATTATATAGTTTCTAAAAACAATTTGAGGTCACTCTGAGAATAATGAAGATTATATATCATTCTATAGCGTTCGCAAAAATTGTTAACATTTTTTTGTTTCTTTAATTTTTTTTTTTTTGCTGATATTATACCTTTTTGGTTGATTATATTTAACAAATTAAACATATTGCTGATGAGAGTCTGCGGCTTTCGTCAATTCATTAGAATTTTTTTTATAATCTTTATGCTTTATTTAAGATCTGTCCTATGTTGGACAATTATTAAATTTTATGATAACTTTGACATTCGCTTCTTGTGATGATGGTTACGGCGTCCCAAGTCATTAGTTTTGATTTAGAATAAATTACTGGAATATACTAGTAGGCTACTGTGTTGCCTACACAGTATTTGGAAACATTTTACATTTGGAAATATGTATCATGAAGTAGTCCTATTAGTTACATTAATAACAATATCTAACAGCTCTGCGAGCTCCCCAGAAGCTTATTGCCATCGAGAATTGGTTACGGACTTGAAGGCAAACGAGGTACACATACGGAACTCTCCAAAGCCCATCCAGAAGGGTCGCAAACACAATTTTGTACAGATCTTTTGCCACTGGCCGGAGCCCTTCCGCCTTGTGAATGTCTTTCAGTCCAAATATGTATATCTGGAGATTGACAGCGATGCCGAGTACCAGCAGTTTAAGGGCTCAACAGCCCGCAGTGTTTGCCAGTCCTCTGAACTGAAGCGTGGCAACTATGAAGGGAAATTGCTTTCTCGTGGAGATGGTTCGCATTTAATTTCCCTTCCAGCACACACGAGCACTTGCTACGGTATCCTTACATCGGAACCGTTCAATCTAACATTGCTGGAGGAACACTTAGATGAGGAACGTTTCGCAATGTTTGTTCTGGGGCTGACATTGTATGTGGCTGCTCCAGTATTGGGAGGATCTTTGTGGTTCTGTTATTGCACAGTCGGCGCCTTGAGCATCTATTTGGGTCGCGTATGCGTTGTTTGTATTGCGCTGCTGTTCGCGAAGGGTGCTACTCTAAAGGATCTAATTCGATTTCGTCCGGTGCAGGAAAATTTCAAGATGGTGGTCTCACAGCACTTCTCGTTGGTGACCAGCACTCTGATGGTTGGGGCATGGATAATGATAAAGTTCTGTCATGGTTATCGCCGCCTCTGGCACAACCCGTGGGTGCCCTACATACATCGCTGTCTGCTGCGCATGCTGGCCTACTACAAGCTGTACTATGCCTCTGATAAGGCCTCGTTTGGACTGTTGTGGGTCTGCACTTTGCAGTCCTGGCCAAAATTATGGTGGTTGCTGCACTGGATTAAGCTTAAGCTTATTCAACTCTTCATGTTTTGCTTTCCCCGGAAGCCACAATGGGGGCTTCGGCAGCAGGTGAAGAAAGTAAAACCTAAATTGGAAAATAATGTTAGAGTATATGATCTGCAATATTTTTTTCGGTTTGTTAATGATGGCCCCAATATGATGCCGGCACAGACCAGTTTTGAGAACCCTAACACTCGACGTTGATGTTAGAAAACAAATATCAAGTATTATTTGCTTATGCTTAAGCGGACAATAGGGCGTTATGTGAAAAAGAAGAGGAGTTTTTGTCAACAAAACGAAACCTTCTAAACTTGTTATGTCTATTAACATATTGAAGGAATTTATTTGCAACCCGATCCTCTGCCAAAACTGATCAGAGAGAGTGAGAGAGAAAGATAATAAACCAAAATGCTTACCTTAAGCTACAAGCTTAATAGGATATATCTTATATGCCTAAAAGCGCCCCTGAATTCGCCTCAAAAATTCTTATTTATATAAATAATATTTGATTGTAAATTTAATGTTCTTCATATTTTAGAGGAGATTTGTTTTACTTCGGAAACTTGTTGAATAAAGATGAAGCGATTAGTACCATAAATATCAGTGTATATATAAATACATATAAATCTTTTCAGACCCAATTAATGGGGTGCTTGAAACTTTAATACACTATTGATAACTATAGAGAACAATGCCCAAAGATTTAGTTACTATCTTAAAGAGAGCACATTTGCTAATCAAAGCAAATTTGTCGCTTTCATTCTCTCAAAATTGAAATTGAATTGAAGTCAAGCGCAAGAGGTGCCAGTCATTTACACCATTCACTGCATTTGTTCAATTGAAATGAAGCTGAAGAGCCACCTCTTTCACCTGCCTTCGATGGCTACCTGATTTCCTTCTATCCAAACTTACACACATATTGGCAAGGCCATCATGGCCCAAGTTAAAAGTAAGTGTGTGAAAGGACGAAATCACATGTGTGTCATTCATTCACTTTCTCGTCAATGTGAATCAGTGGGTGAGAAATGCAAGAAATGTCCGAGAGATGTTAACACCCGCAGGGAAGCCGTAAGCCTCTGTGGGCCAAGAAATCGGCTTGGCTTGTCCCTGGGCTGTTGTGCCATCGGCAGCAACAACATGACTCGATGAACATGCGACTGGGCACGTATGGCTCAAGTCAGTCAAGTCCCAAACCTTATCAGGTCGTCTGTATTTTTATTTTTTCAGAGATTTTTTGCACTCGCCCCCGTTCCCCTACTCCTTCTAGTAACCCATTTACCCCGCCTGCTGTCTGTGTAATGTTTAATTGAATGCGATTTCATTACGCCGCTTTTTTCAATCCTCAGCACGCCTCCTTTATCATTGGGAATGGGTTGTGGGCTAACGGAAATTGAGGCATTATTGTGATTCACTGATTTTGCTCTTTTAAACACCCACACACATGCTCACGTTCAGCTCCCATCGCAGCATCGCACAATGGAACAAATGCCAACAAACTGAACAGAAATAAACTCCACAAACAAATCGCAGATAATTATTATTATAATATTAAATGCCTTAAAAAAAGAAAGTAAATTTTGAACTGAAATCTTTTATCTATCTAGAGTCGAAACTGAAATTGTCAATTCGATTACTCCTAGATATCCTAATAGAAGGTAAATATTCATTTCAAGGTTTTATAATATTTATACATTTTCTACAAGAAAAGAAACCCATAAAACCATCCCGTTTTTGTCTGTATATCACAAGATCCAATTATAAGTAGTTGTCAACAATTTTGTCAACTTTTAATCGATTCCAAAGTTAAGTTTAATCCAATAATTTGGGAAGACCACATTTTTTATAGGTGATTACCAAATGCGAAAATAAAATTATTAGGGATGCCACAGAAATCTCTTCCAACCACACAATTAAGAATAAGCATTTAATATTGAATTTCACGATTTAATAAAAATGAGAATATCTGAAAGATTCAAAAAAATCAAAACAAAAATTACTTTTTCTAGAAGACAAGAAAGTAAAAGCGTAAAATGCCACACTCTTTCGGGCACAACAATTCTAGTATACGAATTGACGTAATATCGACAATTTCTTAACTTGTTGCTTACACCAATAAATACACATAACTATGTTTGAAAATATGAACATTTTGTCGCTGAAAGAAATACAAAACCATTCTTAATATTTAAAATAGATGATAAACATATAGGCTTATCTGTTATGAGCTAAGAGAAAGGCTATTAATGTTTTGGCAACTATGATCTCTTCTTTGGTAAACCCACATAATTTACATTTGTTCACACTATTTGTCGAATAATTCTAACTAACACAAATTCAAAATTATGCCTAATTCTAATTCAATTTAAATTAGTTGCACATTGGCCTTTAAACAAATTATATAATTGTACCATGACGAAAACGAAAAACGTTAGGTATAAAAAAAAAATGAAAATCATAATCAAGCGTGACGAAGAAAGTTGAACTGTTCTGTCAGACAAATCAAAAGATTAATAATCCCAACATTTGTTAAATCAGAGTAATTATGTCTAGATATTTAAAGAATTTGGTTCATATTTTTGAATTAAATTTTTGTTTATTATATGCAAATAGGCTCATAACTGATTATAGTAATTTTATTGTAGTCCCCTAAATAGCTCCCCTTGACTGTTCGGCCAAGAGAGTTTTGATTATACATTTAGTTGTGCCTCGATGATTGCCAAATGCGAAAATAAAATGATATTTTTCTGGCCATTTATTCCATTGTGCGCTGTTGCTTGTGGAAAATGCGGCAGGCGCTTGCCTTGTTGATTTTGGCATTTCAATGGGTTTTTGTGCAAGTGTGTGCGATTCGATCGGGTTATTAAGTGCACACACATACACACACACACACACACACACACGCAAACCCACGGACCAACACACGGACATGGCTGTGGACTTAAACAGATGCCCACCCACACATCGGGCATTGAATTGCTTTGTCTGTTGGGTCGCAGTTCAGGTCTGGGGATTCACCAACGTTCGCTATGAGGTGCGAAACTAATTTGCGCTGAAATTAGTTTTCTTTCTGTGCTGAAAATTACGCTGCACCACCGCCATTGTTACTGTTGCTGCCACTGCTACTGTTGTTGTTGTTATTGTTGAATGTTGCATGTGCCACAAACACACAGACACACTGTACGGCTGCTCTCTTTCTGAACTGCAATTGCCACCAATTTGGCGAGCTTCGCACATTTTTTGCACCATTTTAATGAGCCGCACATGTCTGATGGCCGGCGCTTCGCCCATGGCCTTGTTAAACATTCCACGCGCTGGACAATTTCATCTTGGGGGCATTAACAAGGCGTGTGGCATCATGATGTCAGTGATTAGTGGCATACGCTGAGGGATTTCCTCAGGGGTTGCTATCCAATGGATAGGATGGTAGCCGATGGGCAGGGAAGTTAAATGTAAACGAGACTCGGCAGCACTTTTTCAAAAAGATTTGACAGGCGCCACAAAGTAAAGCTATTGTTACGTTCAATCCGCAATCGAATACACGTATATCCAACTGTAATCAATTTTTTGACACTGACAAAGGCCAAGCTGATCCTTTAAATGTGGTGGAAGAAATAGCAACTAGTCTCAATATTGATTCGTTTTTTGTTAAATTCAATGCGGCTTGGGAGATAAATAAAAATTGAAAACAGTTAAAAAGTATTAAGTTCTTACGGGTTATTCATAGAAGCTATCTATGAAGAAAACTTTATGTGCCAATAATATAAAAATATTTGCTTTGAACAAATGAATAAATACGAATTACTTTTACTATATTTTCTCTTATTTTCACTAAAGCTGGTGAAAACATAACATTAAAACCAATAATATTTTGTTAATGAATTTCTCAATAGTTCGATAAATCAGTAAAAGCGTATAATTGAACAACCTATATGTCTGATGAATAATTATTTATTTATTTATTTATTTTTTTTTTGATAAGCTAAGTTCGATAAAAAACAAGTAATTTTAAATGAATAACAATATTAATTTGTTTGAAACGTGTTGCAATCCTGTATGTGTTTTATTATTGTTCAGACTTAATTTGTTAATAAGTTGAAATACAATATTACAAATAATTTAGAATATTGTATCAATAATAATTGTCTAATAAAATGTTCTTTGTAGATATTAAGAGATCCTCAAAGTGTTGAGAAACTTTTTAAGGTGTGCGGGGAAATGGGCGGTTATTAAGGATCAATTGCAAATAGCTCTGAGAAGTGCTTAGTGATAACCTTCCGGAACATTTATTTATTTAAAAAAATAATTTAATTTTAAGAAAATTATTTACAAGGTTCGATAATAACTTTGTTTAAATGCGACTTGATTTATTATTACAACATTTTACTTATCATTACATAATGGTTATTATACATTAATAATTTTAGGTTTAGCTTAACTTCAAGTAAGTCTTGAAGTCACTCATCACTTGTTTCATCTTTTCAACTGTCAACTGCAAATCCCCTCATATTTGAAATACTGTTGTACTGTCTTTCTTGTATGTCTTTTAAGCCCAGATTATTTTCAAAGTGCTTACTAGACCAGCATTTGAATTGCTTGATTAACATAGCAAAGTAACCATTCATCCAGCAATACGCATAAGCTAAATATTCGTTCATCTTAGAAAAAAGCTGCTGAAAAACTATTTTCATTTGCAGCTGAAATTATGTGCTGTTTGCTAAGGGGTGCCCCAAATGTAGTTAACTTTGGTGGAAAGTCGTGACAGCAGAGACAGCCAGTGTCAAAATTTTGCTTGCCACTTCAAAATTCTCTTGATTTCATTTTCTTGCAACAAGCTATGAAAATTTGCACGAGCGCTGCCATCGTTGGAGGAAAACTCATAAATATTAAAATGGGAAATTTCACGTTTTATTAATTTAACGGCAATGGCTGCGAAATTGTAACGGTAGTTTCGGCAGCACAATTCGCTGCTAGGTGTGAATTATGTAAAACAATGACAAAATGGCGGAACTAAGGCTGCCGTACCACTTATCAGAGCTAAGGGTGCCCCTCCTTTTCGCTTACTTGCGTTCGAGTTGGCTGTTGCTTAGTTTTTGGCCAGAGATTTGCATAAATTTGCATTGATGCAGCCTTAATTGAAAAACAGTCGCGCCAACTTGTGACATTTTAAAGAGACGCATAAATTATGTGTAGACGATGCGTCCATC